ATGCCTACATCTCGGGGGGTGGCAGTGTGTACAGTTGCGTCAACTTTTGCTAGAAGGGGTGCTATTTCTTCTGTCAAGAAATGATAGCTCTGATGCATTAAAAATGCACTTATCATTGAGTTTGAGTCCTGCTTTGGAGATGCGCAGCAGAGCTTGCCCCAGGTTTCTCACATGCTCTGACTCGGTCCTGCCAAAGATGATATTGTCTATGTAGCAGAGGGCCCCCTTGCAACCCTACAGGATTGTAGTCATCAGTTGCTGAAATGCGGCAGGAGCAGACACAAATCCAAAGCACACTCTTTTAAACCGGAAAAAGCCCTCATGGGTAATCAAAGCTGTGAGGTCTCTGCTGTCCGGATGAAGGGTAACTTCATAATATCCAGACGATGAGTCGAGCTTTGAGAAGTAACGTGCACCATTAAGATAGTGCAGTAGCTCTTCTGTGTGAGGCAGGGGAAAGCTACCAACTACAATTGCTTTGTTGGGCTCTCTGAGGTTCACACATAGGTGGATGCTGTTATTTTCTTTGCGGACAACTACAGGAGAGATCCATTAAGAGGTGATAGCCCTTTCAATTATATCATCAGAGAGGAACCGCTGAAGCTGGTAGCTAACTGGCTTGTGCATGGCAAGTGGGAGGCGTCTCAGCTTCTGCACCACTGGAGGGACTGGCGACTTCATTTTGACCTGGTGCTGGATGCCTTTGGCCTGGCCAAGGCCCGGTGAAAACAAATGTGAAAACTTAGCCCATGGCAGAGATGTCATATTGAACTTCAACGGGCTTGCAGGAACTGCGCCGCCCGTATGCGCAGATGCTGCTGTTTTCTGACTCACGTTCTCTGACATGCTGTTTTCTGACTCATGCACTGGCAGTGTAGCTGCAGGCCCACAATGTGCAGTCTTAAAGCTTGCATCGCATCCAGACCCAGAAGAGAAGTTCCTCCGGGGGTGAATTGAATCGCTATCACGGCTGTTTGTTCTTTAAACGAGATGCTTGCTTTAAAGTGGCCCATTACGGAGATCTTCCAGGGTTGTCAGTCCAACAACGTAAGGGCAGAGCTGGTCACCTGAACCCCTTCGAACATGTTTTGAAATTCTTCTTCCCGTATAATTGACACAGCTGATCCCGTGTTGACCAAAATTTCAGCAGCATGTGGTTCAGAACTCAAGGCAACTGAGATGACTACTACATCAATGTAGACGCTCTTGCACTTCTCTTAATGAACAGTTAGTAGGCTAATGACATCTGATGCATCTTGTTCAGGAACTACTACTTGGGTGCAAATCGTGTTCTGCGTGAGCTACAACACACTTGAAGCGGCCCTAGCAGCCGCATGCGAAGCAGGTTCAATCGCGAGCGAGGCATGCCGTCGGTTCACAGTGACGTGTGCTGTAATTACCACAAGTCTGCATATTTTTGCTGTATTCAACATTGGCAGCATCGGTATATGGAGGTAGTGAGCTCGTTTGACGAGCGTGCGGCAAGCTAAGGCAACTTTGATAAAGGGGGCGTGCCTCGTTGCTGTACCAGCGACTATTGTGCGTATTTCGTTCGGAAGCATTATACTGACGTGGATGTAGGCGTGCGATGTGCTCAACATAATAAGAAAAAGCTTCCGACTGCAGCTGGGCTCTCTTGCTGAGCAGAGTGATTTCAACGACATGGTCGAACGTCAACGTATCATCTTCCAAGAGCAACCGTGATCCAATTGGGGGATGCAACTCGGGTAATGAACTGATCGCACATACCGTTGACTTGCTCGTCAAAATCACAAGAAGCTGCCAGCTCGCGAAGCGCAAGGGCGAAGTCGGGGATGGATTCACCATTTAGCTGACGGTGCTATCGGAACTAATGTAATTCTAAGCGAATTTCGCGCGCACCAGTGAAAGGTTGTTCCAAAATCTCGCGGGCACGCCGTATACGTTTGGAAGACTCGTCGCTGCTGCTTCTTACTTGGGGGCTATGCCACGGTCTTTGCCTTCACTGGTTGAGGTAGGGGCAGCGACCAACGGCTCAGTCATCAATAGCTGCAGTGGAGTGGGCGTCAGTAGAAGCGCATCGAAAATACGTTGTCTTTCAGGGCCAAGGCAGTGCAACAGCGGGGCTCGACGGCGAGGTGTAGACAGGTTGGCAGCTCCAGACGCGAGAAGACAATTGTCGAAGAAGTGCATCTAGCAGGTCTATGGTATGGCTGAAGTGCCCTGGGCAGTGGCGAAAGTGAGGCGGAAGCCATCGCGTCCTGATCGAAAACTCGTCATCAGATTGTAGTGTTGGCAACACGGCATGACTGAGGACAACGAACACACTCAACCCTGTGTACAAGTCCAGGTCGAGGGATGAACAACTTTATTGCAAGAACAGGAGTGATTATATACAGTTAAACCTGGATATAATGAAGTTGATAAAGTCCTGGAAAAATTCGTTATATGCAGGTTTGGTACGAAAATTTGGAAAATAAACGCGCAAGTCAAACAAAAGGGGGACAGAATGCAGAGCTAACCCCAAACACTCATTCTGCAGTAAAAAACTGCGTTATTATTGCGATAGCAATTATATGGACACTCTCGGCGGGTTCTTGCTGTTGCCGCCATGTTCCGCAACAAGTCCAATTTGACAACATGCCCCCACGCACTGTAACTTTCACAAGCGGGTAAAAGCGCGCGAGCGCTGCTGAAGCAGAGATCAAATGAGTCGGCCCATCCCTATCGCCTGGAAAGTGCATAGCATCTCCCACGTGTTAGAACTGCCATCAAATGCTCAAACAGAAAGTGAACTACCTCTCTTAAATGAGCATGAAACAACGTGGGGAGGGAGGAGAGTATCGCTCGAGTAGCAAAAGTTACAGCTTTGCCGGAAAGGCGAAGCAATGAACGCGATAGCAACGAATTGAAAGGCCACGCGCAGAATGGAAAGCAGATCGAAACATGCCCCGCGTTTATCACGCATAAATGACGCACGAAACATACTCACAGGTACGGATGCACGGGAATAAGTGTCTCATTTGTTACTTTGCTATGTCTGAAAAGCACGCGCTTTTCGCAAACGCAGACTGCAACGATTGCAGTGACCTTTGTGCACCCGGTAACTACAGCAGAATTGTTGCAGGTAAAGCCCGAGGCCAGGCAAGGTGTACGACCTTCCCCTCCTTGCCGCCACGAGATAACGGCACGTGAGGGAACGTCGCTCCCCTTCTTTAAGCCGGGCAAAGTACACGTAGGGGATTAGAGCCGGTGCCGCTGCGCGATGTGGCGACGGGCACTTATTGCACCATCTTGCTGGTAATGCTGAAAACACGATTCCCCCCCCCCCCCCTCCACGAGATGCTCATGAGCAGCGGTAAGTGGTAGATATAAGTAGCTTGCCGTTTCAACGGTGAAGGATGTGCTCCGAGGTGGCTCAGTGGTTAACGCCTCACTTTCATGACGCAGAGGTTTCACGTTCGATTCCGCGCGCTGGAGTGTCTTTTCTGAATTTTTTCTTTCTTGCGTTTCCAAATATATAGATACATATACATATATGGTGCATAACATCGGCGCCCACGTCGACACTAATGCCGTCAGCAAAATCCAGCCGAGAGTGTCCATATAATTGCTATCGCAATAATAATGAACTTGGATTTTAAGGGTGGTCGCGATCGCTGGCGCACTTGCTATCTCGGCAAGTATCAGTGCAGTTTCAACGCGAAGGGACTATGTAGAAAGAGCAAAGGCGATTGTTCCCATCGAAGTCGAAGGCGCGTGATTCTCCCGCCGAAGGATAAGCGCAAGTGCACAAGCATCCAACCCCCTCTCCCCTCTCCGCATTGGCGGGGCGAAGTACACGAGGGAGATAACCGGCCGTCAGCACATCGTGACGAGCTGAGCGCCAAGTGCAGGCTGCTTTTTTTTTTCTTGAGTTTCTATATATATAGGTACGTATACATATACTATACATATACGGTATAGCCGAAACTGCCCATTTGTGTAATTGCTATCGCAAAAAAAAAAAAAAAGGCTAAGCTGAACGTCGTCGGAGGACACACCATACACGCGCAGTGAAACTGTGTGCGCGTCTAAAACGAAGAGCGAACGACACGAACACAGACACTTTTACCGCGGAAACATTTCGGTAAAGTGCCTTCCATATGCAGCGCGGCATGACGCTAACTAAACGCGTAGCACTGCCAATGCACAAAAGTAGTTTTTTTTTTTTATTTTGGTTTGGGGTGGGGGGCACACCCGGGCATGCGACCACTCGTAAGTGCAGGCCCGCCTCACGCGGACGCGGCCCGCATGCCCGCCGCCACCGGTTCGCGCTTCGGCGACGGCGGGGCAGTGGCGGAAGATGCATGCTCATACCAAAATGCCGAAATGCGGAGCGAAATTCCAGGATTGTTTGTGGGGAAAATTCGTTATACGAAAGTTGTCTCCAGCAGCTACTTTGTTACATAGAGATCGCAAATACATGTGCTTCTATGGAGCAACGGCGGGGAATAGAAGAACTTCATTATATCCAGGAATTCGTTATATGGAGGTTCGTTATAAGCAGGTTTAACTGTATACAACTGCAACTTCAGCAGCAAATGTGTAGTAATGGCATAAACAGTGACGTGGTGCTTTATGAGCCTTACTACAAACCCATGCCACATAAGAACTGCTTTATTCCAGTAACAGTCGTATTTATATATTTCAGAGGTGGCACCATCTCTTGACAGTTGAACATAACTAAAGTCACCTAGTGTCGACCTTTGACACTACTGTGTAAACATAAATTTATGATGAAGTAGCAATTTTCTGGACTTCCTGAGAATTAAAGCTGGTCTCAAGCATGCGCTCTGGCCTATCTCGTCCTTTTTTTTTCTTCATTCTGCACACCAAAAAAGATTTTTTTTGTCGATACATTCTGTGAAGCAGATTGTTTTGCCTCGCATGTCAAGGCCTTTTGTAGTGTTTGGCTTTTATGTCTGCTTTAAGGATGTAAGTTGTTGTTATTGAAGCTGAGCTGTGCTTGGTGTCTGCAGAAAAGTGGGACACCATGGAGGAATATGTACAGGTGATCCCTCGTGATACCACCGATAGTGCCTTTCACCAAGCAGTCCTTGCCGTTCACAAGGAAAACTTCCCAGGGGCTCAGCAGGTGAGAGAAGTTCTTAAGAAGTACTATACGTCTTAAAGTAATGCACAAGTGGCTCTTTAACGAATGACTAAAGGCAAATGTGAACCTCTTGGAAGAATCTTAGCAATCATATTATACTGCATATTTATATTTCGCCTTTATCTACGTCTTAAGGCTGTGAAAAAGAATTTTCATCTTTACACTGCTCATTACACCAGAAGACCTGAAGTATTAACAAAGGTTGCAATCGTTGTGGTGTTTGTGTGCCCATTCATTTCTTTTCTTCGCTTGTACTGTGGTTCGTTTCAGTTCATTGACAAAGCAAGAGACCTGATAGACACGGACCTTACTGCCATGGTTGGAGAAAGCTATAGCCGAGCGTACGGGGTGAGTATGAATGATGCTGACACTTGGGCTGTGGGAATTTTATTTATGCTTAAAAATCCTGTAGTGAAACTAATCATTTATAGGTACTCATTTAGTATGCTGCTCATCTTAATATGTAAGAGCAGAGGTAAAAAAAAAACTCCTTGGAGAAGTATGGGAGCCACACGTATTATTGGGAAGCATTAAAGGGGCTTGGAAGGCTTTTTGAACGTATTGCGAAAGTGTTGCCTATCTGATGACTAGGCTGAGCCAATGATTATTGCTTTGCACGCTGCTGGCATTTTGTACAATCGTGTTGTCATGCAGCCAGAAACTGCTTGCTGCGTCCTTCGCAGTGTATCAGTAGCTATTCAGCAAGCAGGCCAAACTGATGCCACATTTTTTGGTCACGAGAATTTTCTCACTCAAAGTGTTGTGAAATTTTTGTTAAACAAATCAAATATGTGCATGTCTTTTATGTAAAAAAGTGATGTAATATTAAATCACGACTCTTCTGATGCTGATAGACGATCATCTATGTACATTCGACTTTCTCCTACACAAACACAAAGAGACAACTCAAGGTCCCGTCTCTTTCAACTATAAATGTTTGCATAATTTACTTGTGTAATGTTGCATTCACTGCTGTGTTACTTGCCAACACATGCTAGCTCTCTTTCATTCATTTTGTGCCTGCAGCTCCTTGTCAGTTAGGCACTTCCTTTTATTTGATTACTATCCAGCGATCAGGCTGTCCACCATTTGTCTAGTTTGGCCAGAATGAGTGCTTAAGCATTGTAGCAAACTTGTCATTCGTTGGCTGCAGTTCCATGTAACGACAGCAATTCTTCGTTATAACAGAGTCAGCGAGGTGTAAAAAATTTGTTGCAATCTGTATTTCGATAGAAGTGACCACTTGACAGAAGTAGGCTTGTTCAAATACTTGAACAAATATTACAGTATACAAATTTGCCTTGATTCAAATTTGAAATATTGAAAATTTCAAAGTATTCAAAATGAACGAATAGATGTAAATAGTCCAGATGTAATCTCCTGTAAAAATAGTTTCACTGCAGCGGAGGGGTGCTAAGTCGCAAAAGCACTTATTTAGAAAAAATCTACACTGCTGCAAAGCTCCACTTCAAAGCTAAATGAACATATTGGTCTCATATTGACTTATTGTTTTTTTTTACTTTAAAAGCTTGTTATACAGGCTTATAGTAAATTCTAAAATGTCACATATTTTACAAATTATCGCTTGCATTCTACCAAAAATCAATCCTACTACTATATTTTTGAAGTTGTTTGCACTTCCTTAGAACCAAAAAAATGGCTTTTGCACAGGCCTTCTTTCAATTTTTTTTAAATATTGTGCAAGTTAGTCAAATAATGGCAAATATGCCCATTTCTCTTTATAATATGGGATATATACAATTTGAATTTAGTTCAGAATTATTCGACGAAAACCACTTCGAATTCGTTTCAAACCTAAAATTCACTATTCGCACAAGCCTAGACAAAAGCTAAAGAGCAGTAGAGATTTAATTGCACTAAAATAGTGAGGAAGTCAAAGCACGATGGCCCAAAAATGCACTCTGAATGATCGCATCGTGTGGCCAAGCACGTAACACCCCCTACTGAATGTGCAAGCCAGCCTGTGGTCTTTTGACCGTACTCCGGCATACAAAAGACCGGGGCTTTCTGGCGTTGCCAGGAAAACTTTATTTTCATGTAGATTCTGTCATGGGGGACACCAGCAATGCAGTTGCGATCTGACTAACACTTCGTGCGTCTGCACCATTGAGTTTGAAGGCTCCCGTTTGCACAACAGTAATAAAGAGCTGGGAGTACTGAGCACTGGCTTTGTACTAATTTTAAGTAGTTGTCAGTCGTGGGTTTGGTACTTTTGGGCTCCTATTTGTGCCTGCCTGAGATGTTGGTGGCAATAATTAGACACTGCGTGCTCAAAAGGGCCACGGCTGCTTGCCGACACCTCTGTTCGCCTCCAGTTACGTAGCATCAAGAGGTACCTGTCTTACACCAAGAGTGCTGCTCACGCATGAGCCAGTGATAGCAATTAACACATTGAGAAAAAGTGGCAATAAAATTTTTCAGAGGCATGAAGTAACTTTTTAGTTGGACCTTGCCACATATCCATCTCCCTTGTGTGGCTTCCAATATGCTAGTGCAGAAAAAACGAGAGAAACTGCTCAGTGGTGCATTAGTGGCCTTTCACTTTGCTCGAAGGATGTGAAGTCCAGTAATGAGGCCGTTCTGTGATTCCATAAAATGCTGTGTATTGGGAATTATAATTGACATCTGCATGTTGTTACCCGCCTCCCATAACACAGGCGATGGTGCAAGTGCAGATGTTGGCTGAACTGGAGGAAGTGATTCAGTACAAGCTTGTGCCTGAACGAAGAGAAGCAATCAAACAGAAATGGTGGGACAGGCTTCAGGTGAGGGCAGATCTGGCATTTGCTAAATTAAAAGGGGGGCTGACTACTACCACCCAGTATGGGTCATGAGGTATTATAAAATGTTACAGGACCATGAATTTTAATTGCAGAACAGAGCATGATATTTGTGTTTTCTGTGCGAATTTTATTTTGAATTGCAGTGAAAAGAAAAAAAAAACAAGGAACAAATGTGTTTTGTCATTTCCAGCAAGGACTGAGTACTCATGTTACGGTTCGTAGTTGGCTATTATTTTGTTACACCATGCTTGATGCTCACATACTTGCACCCTTCACATTATAGACGATTTTCTGCAGCAGCGCACGGGCACTGCCATATTTTGATCACTTGACCGTAATTGCCTTCCCCCAGCCAGTTGCCCCAGTCAGTTGCCCCAGCCAACGCATTGGGCCAGATAAGTGGCTGTGGCTGTAAGTGCTAGTAGCTGACGTTAGAAGCCAACATGGGAGCACACTTGCAGACGCAACCACCTGCTTCGATCTGTACTCGCTTTTGCTACTCGCCCACTGTCTTCACAGCAATAAATAAATGGTGAAATCAGCAATCGCTTCATGTAATCTCATGCTGGGGACAGAGAATCATGTATGTTCTGTCTTTAATAGTATTGAGATGAGCAACCCTGTTGGGTTTAATTTGCCATGCCTGCTACACCTTTTCTCCGAGAATTTGAGAATGAATCTTGAGAACTCTGCAAAATACTAACGAGTATGTTGCTCTTTAAGCTTCAGGATGCGAATATAAAGCAAATAAATGCGTAGGTTGCGAAATTATGGGCCACACAGCGCAGGACAACGACATGATAAGTTCAAAGGGGAAGGAAACTGCATCTACTAATGCCACCATGGTGACTTTTCTGGCGCTGTGGTCTGCCTCGCTTTTACTCGCATGTGCGCAGACGCAGATTTAGACATATTAAGCAGCAGTGCCAAAGGACACGGTAAGGAGATGGCCACGTGCAGTGGCACCATCTAGTTTGGATTGAACAAACCAGCTGCAGAAAATGGTCTTTATGTATGCATTGCACACATATTTTATCTTTTGTGAATTTTGAGATGAAAATGCCTTTACACTGAGAGGTGATAGGGCCTTCATTGCAACAGCCAAAACAGCCGACTTATGACAAGCCATAGTGATCTATTTAGGTGCTTCTTTTTTTGTGCCAGTTGGTGAGCAGGTACTTTTAAGTTCTGTGGTCACCCTGAGAGGTACAATAATAACGTTGACTTCCACTGCCGTTAATGGATGCTATCACTGCATGAACAGAGTTATTGGCACATTCGACCACTTCTTGCAAAGTTGGCATATAATTGTTATCATTTCTCTCATTTGTAACATTGGTCTTCATCTTTGCTGTAGCTTGAGAACTTTTTATTCGAAAATGTTCAACAAGTTTCTCTGCATTATCATGGTATGATTGAACATGCTGACCAGTAAGCTTTCGATTGCCCTAAAGTAAATAGTGCCACAAAAAACTGACTGTCAGTTCAGTTCGTGTCATGTCTTATGCCATTTTTGCGGTGTGCAGGGGTACAAGTGCTGTGCCATTTGCGGCGCCACGCTGCGCAAATCCGCATTTGCAGCACTATCTTGCTTCAAAATGCATTTTTGTGCTGAGACTGCTCCTATACAATCTTTGGTGCCTTCTGTAACACTGTCATCCGTGACGGGCCATGCATATGCGAGCTATCATCATCACCAACTGTGCACACACTGTAACGATGGGAGCGGAGCGAAAAAATTTAACCACGAGGGTGAAGCATTGATGGGATAGCAAGAAGTTGGCATTCTCTATGTAGTAAGGCTAGCAGCCATCTCTTGGATTCGACTTTCGGTGACCCTACAAAATGCTGGTGTAAGGAATATGGGCGCTACCTAGAGCGAAGTTGTTTTTGTGCAACTTCTTGTCTCACTGCGAAGCAGCCAGGCCATCTGCTAATGTCTGTCGAAATAGCATTAGTGACAGCGCCCCTTTAATCAAAGTTGGCATTTGCTGCTTAAACAATGCACCCCCCCCCTCCCTACTTCGACTGCCTTCATGTTTTTTGGCTTGCAATACATGTGGGCCATTTCCTTTTCTTGAGGAGCATGTTACTGCAACATGGGGATTATATATATATATATATATATATATATATATATATATATATATATATATATATATATATATAGTCTAGTAGATCCTCCGTGAGCGGTCTCAACGTGGTTTATTTCGACGTTTCGGCCTAGAGTCTGGCCTTCATCAGGAATAAAGATACAGTTTGTCGGTGCTCAGCTTTATACAATCTCAAATCAGAGGGCAAGGTAAGAGGGAAAAAAAAAAGGAAAAGAAAAAAAGAAAAGAAAAGAAAAGGAAAGAAAAAAAAGAAAAAAAAAGAGAAAAATAATATACGGTGAACGCCCCTCGGGTGCCCCCCTTCCACTTTTCCCTCCACTCCCCCCCATCTCTCTCCCCCCTCTCCCCTTCACCTTTCTGATGTCAGCGGTCTGTGTATGTTTCCGTTCACTAGCGCATTCCTCCCGATCAGACGGTCCCTCCTGGCACTGGCGGTTCGGTGTGGGGCAAAAAAGAGCTTTTCAGGAAGTCCTAAGCCTTTAACTGCTCGGGGTCCCGTAAACAATTCGTCGTAGAAGGACGGGGGCCGCGTATTGTGGCAGAGGCTGGTCAGCGGGCATTTTAGGAAGTTCTAAGCCTTTAACTACTCCGCGCCCTGTCAACATTTCGTCGTAAAAATAGGGGTGCCCCGTATTGCGGTAGGCTGTGCAAGCGCGTGCAATGCGAATTCCTGGCCCGCTTCTAAATTACGCGTGTCGTGGGGGCCTCCCGGCTGTGCACATGGTTGCTGTTGGGCATGTCGTGCATGGCACAATTGATTGGGTAGTAAAATAAAACAGAAAACAGACGACAGCTGCACTTAGGAAGAGTAGTTACACTTGGAATTGTTTTAGGTTGTCCAGTGCCCTTCGCAGCTGCAGTGCCGTGAACTCAGTTACTATTTTCATCGTTGCCGTTATTGTTTTCTAATGCTTTAATTGCTGCAAGTGTACCAGGATTCTCATTTATTCCTCTATCGAGGGTGTTAAATCGGTGGATAAGGTATGACTCTCGTTGTTCACGTTCTCGATTTGATTTAAATCCCGTCTCTAAGAGCGTTACTGATAGTTTGTCGAATGCATGGTCGGGAAGATTGAGATGTTTTGATAGAGGTAGACTTGGGGCTGATTTCGCATGGGCTCTGTGATTATTGAAGCGAATCCTAAATGGTGTTTCTGTTTGTCCGATGTACTGCATACCACACACGTTGCATTCGAGTAGGTACACCACATTAGAAGAATCGCATGTTAGGTTTCCTCGTATGTTAATCGAAAACTTGGATTGCGTGCTGGTTGCTTTGTCTGTTTTTCGCATCGCCTTACATACAAGACATCGTGGCTTTAAGCAAGGGCGGCATGAATTATTGGGGGGTGATGTGTTAATTTGGGAGTGGACAAGGGTGTCTTTGAGGTTACGTGGTCGTCGGTAAACGACGCCTGGAGCGGATGGGAATGCGCGTTTCAGACGTTCACTTTGTTCCAGAATGTTGTAATGTCGTTTAAGGATTTTGTTTACATTGGGGAAGTTTGTGCTGTAAGTCAAGCAGAGGTTTGTTCGTTGTGGGTCTTCTCGTGGTGGTCGCTTCATAAGTAAGTCTTCACGCTTTAGTTTTCTCGCTTTTTGAACAGCGTCATTAATTACATGTGGGGGGTATTTTTGTTGCTCGAGCATAAGTTTTAGCCTTTGTGAGCTCGTGTCAAAGTCAGCGTCTCTAGAGCAGATTCGCTTAAACCGGTGAGCCTGGCTGTATGGAATACCGTTTTTACAGTGGCGTGGGTGATCGCTTTGGTAATGAAGGTATTGTTGTCGATCCGTTGGTTTGCGATATAGGGTTGTAGAGAGCTTCTCTTCTTCTATTGTTATGGTAACATCAAGAAAATTTACGGTAACTTGCGAGTATATGTGTGTGAAGTGTATGTTCGGATGTACAGCATTGTAAGTGTCTATAAAGCTGAGAAGTTCGTCCTCGCTGTGGGTCCAAATAAGAAAGATGTCGTCTATGTATCTTCTGTATAACATTGGTTTCAAGGAACTTTGTGCAAGAAATTCAGATTCTAGCTTTCCCATAAATATGTTGGCATAATTAGGTGCCATTTTGGTGCCCATAGCGGTCCCGCTGATTTGTCGAAAATACTCTTGGTTAAACTCGAATGAATTTAATTCGAGGACCATCCTCGTCAATGTTGCAATGGCAGAGAAATCTGCGGTGTTAGATTGTCTATGGTTTGTGTACATGTTTCTTAGTGCAGCTATGCCGTCATCGTGAGGAATATTTGTATATAATGAAGAGACATCAAGGGTAACCAAGTACGAGTTTTTCGGCACACAGATACCCGCAATGTCTCGAAGAAAATGTGTGGTGTCTTTTATGTACGACGCGAGGGTGCATGGAATGTGGCTTATTAGTTTGTCCACGTACCCTGATATGGGTTCAGTTATTGTACCGATGCCTGATGTGATTGGTCGACCTGGGTTACCGGGTTTATGAATTTTTGGGAGGATGTAGAAGCGACCTGGACGAGGGTATGCTGCTTGCATCAGTTTGTGGTCAGTGTTGGTTATCTTTTCTGCGTCCAACAGTTTCTTTAGTTCTGTTGATACGATACGTTTGTATTCGTCTGTCGGATCACCTGGGAGGCGTTCGTAAAATCTTGAGTCGTCTAGTTGGCGGTATGCTTCTTGTAGGTAGTTGGTTGTATTAAGGACTACAATTGCTCCTCCTTTGTCAGCGGGTTTTATTGTTATGTCTGTCCTAGATGCCAAATTTTTCATGCTTATTTTTTCAGATTTGGTCAAGTTTTCTCGGTTTCCTTTCTGTCTGTGGTATTCGTGTACTATATCTTTCTGTACTGCGGTGATATAAAGGTCCAAGCACTTGTCTCGATTACT